ACTAAAGTGCCGCTGCGCCAGCCGCGCTGTGAGGAATGCAGTGAGCAGGGATATGACATAACATATCCCTGCCCCTCCACACAGCCTTTGGCATGTATATTTGTAAGTATAGGAGTTTATTTGTGTATAGTGATGGCTTTGGAATATATGGGTGTATTTGTGTATAACAAACATGTCAAACTCAAAGTCTAGCGCGGGGCAAATAAACAAGGTTTAAGTTTATGTGGGCCGCAAAAAAAACCTACTTACATTTTCATAAAAACATAGGTTTATTTTGAAAAGTACAGTATTAAAAAATACCCAGTATCCCCCTCTACTAAACTACAGCACTCCCTCTTCTAAATCCCAGCTCCCCCCTACTAAAATCCAGTCCACCCCTTCTACTTAATCCCAGTCCCCCCTATATACTAAATCCCAGCACCTCCCTTTAGCCAATAAGCAAACTCCACTTACATTGGTGCTGCCAGTATGCGACTCGGGAGTCCGGCCTCTGGTATACCCCAAATGGCGCAGTTCGCACCCTGTGCCAAAGTGGATCCTCCCGCTACTTCTTGAAACCCTGTGAAGGTGGAGCATGTCCACGTCACGTCGGAATGTGACGTGGCGTTGCGTGCCTCCGTGCACCCCAGGTACTCCACTGTCCAGCCACGGCCATCGCAACACTGACCGACACACACAGACACACACTCACTCACTGACACACACACACACACACACTTACTGACACACACACACACACTGACAGATACACACACACACACTGACAGACACACACACACTCACTGACATACATACACACTGACCGACAAACACACACACACACTCACTGACATACACAAACACTGACAGACACACACTCACTGACAAACATACACAAACTCACTCATTGACAGACACACACATTGACGTTGTTTCTTATTTCTGTATCTCTAACTAATCTTAAAAAAAAAAAGAACCAATAAACAAAGACTGACAAAAAAAAAGGCCAAAGTATCCTAACTGAAAGCATAGCTGAGAGTTTTTCCAGTTGAGCTATTTTGTCCTTAAATTTCACTTTGAATTCTTACTTTAGTTAAAGGGACACTATAGTCACCTGAACAATTTTAGCTTAATGAAGCAGTTTTGGTGTATAGAACATGCCCCTGCAGCCTCACTGCTCAATCCTCTGCCATTTAGGAGTTAAATCCCTTTGTTTATGAACCCTAGTCACACCTCCCTGCATGTGACTTGCACAGCCTTCCATAAACACTTCCTGTAAAGAGAGCCCTATTTAGGCTTTCTTTATTGCAAGTTCTGTTTAACTTCAGGACGGGTGACGGACGAGGTCCGTCACACAGGGGAGACCTTAACGACGGGTGACGGACTCGTCCGTCACGCGGTAAAATTAACCCCGGATTGCCGCTATCGCGGCGATCGCGGGGTTAATGGTGCTCCCGGTATGCCTCCGCATTGAGGCATACCGAGCACCCGTCAAGTTGTGCTCGCTCTGACCACAAGTCGGAGCGAGCACATGTGCTCTGAATACTTACCTACCGCTCCCTGCACTTCGGGTTCTGTGTGAAGTGCAGGGAGCCGGATCAGTGCTGATCCTGCCCCCTGCTGTTAAAAAAAATAAAGTTAATTTAAAGTGTCCCCCCTTACCCATTTTAATAAAAAATTATTCCCTGCCAATTGATCACTGACTACAGTGATCAATTGGCAGGGATTACATTTTACTATGATCTGATTTTTTTTTTTTTTTTGATTTGACAATTTTTATTTTGCATTAAAGAGGCATGGGGGAGGGGGGGGATACAAAAGGCAAAAAAGGGGGGGGGGAGGAAGTCATGCAGTTCGTCTTGAGAGTATCATGGATACAGTGGGGTGGCATGGGGTACAGTGCATACACAAGACATTTCAGTGTCGAATGGTTTCTTACATAAGTTAGTTGACCTGTTGTGCCCAAGATTTGTATGGTTCCATAGTGATTATACATCAGCGTAACTTCAGGGTCACATGCCACCACTTCCTGGTCCAAGTGACCTTGTCTCGTATTCAAATTCTTGTCGCTCAGTGGTGGTTCCGTAAGGTGCGGGTTGGTGGGGGTAGGGTGTGTGCGTGTGGAGCGTGTTGTGTTGGTGTGTGATTGGTGGGGGTGTGTTGGTGTGCATACTGATGTGTGTCTCAGTGGGTATGTGTGTGGGCCAGCCAGTCAGGGTGTGGGAGTTACGTGTTCCTCCAGTCGGGGAGGTGCGTTGTCTTGGTCGCATGGCTTGTGGATGTCTTGTGGGTCAGCTGGTTTGGTTTTGTCCCATAGGGCCCATGCTTTGGTCCAGAAGGGTTCGCTCCGTCTGGATTTCCGTGCTGCATTTTCATAAGCCTTGTTCGTTTCCACCGCCTCAATGCATTGGTGGATCGTTGGGGCGGTTGTTTGTTTCCACTTCCTGCTTATGACAGTGAGGGCTGCTATACAGATGTGGTATAGCAGATATTTGGTGTGGGTTTGGGGTGTTTGGGGGAGCAGGAGCAATAGGAATAGCTCCGGTGTCTGGGGAATGTGTGTCTGGGTGCATCGTTTCGTTAAATCTAGGACTTGTGTCCAGTACTGTTGTAGGAGTGGGCATTGCCACCATATGTGTAGGAAGGTTCCTCGGTCTCTTTGGCAACGCCAGCATGTGTCGGATGCTGTGGGATAGCAATGTTTTAGTTTCGTGGGGACTAGATACCAACGGTAGAGAAGTTTACGTGAGAGTTCCATGTGTGACATGCAGAGGGTCATTTTTTTGTTCGCTTGGAAAATATCCAGCCATTTCTCATCTGTAAGTTTGTATCCTAGATCTCGTTCCCAATTTTCTTGGAATGATGTGGGCTTTGCTTGAGTGTCTATGTGTTCTGAGGTATAGATCAATGAGATGAGTTTTTTTGCCGGTTTTGTCTTTGTGCATATTTCTGTTATTTTAAACCAGTGTGGATCCGGTGGGTTCTTGTGTCTTCTTGGTTTGTGGAGGTTTGTCCAAGATTGTAGTTGATTGTAGGAGAAGTTTGCGATCATAGGCATTTTGAACTCTCGGCAGATGTCAGGGAATGGTTTGAGGCTGTCGCCCTGTAGTACTTGCGACAGTGTGAGAACACCGTGTCGGAGCCAGAGTTTGTGGTTGAAGTTTGGGATATGTTGTCGTACTGCTTCTATGGGGGTTGCTGGTGCTAGAGGCGATATGTTCTCTCTCTTCCTGCGGTAGTTGTCCCATATTGAAAGGGTCGTGGCCGTTGTTGGAAGCATTGCTAACTTGCAGGGGCGTCGGTTTGCCGGTAGCCAGGCTAGTGTGGGAAGTGTGAGCCCATCGGTTTTAGATGCTTCCAGTTCGACCCAAGGCAAAGGGGTTGTATGGTTTGAAGCCGCGAGGATTGGAGCTATCTGTGCTGCTCTGTAGTATTTTTTAATGTCTGGTAGTCCCATTCCTCCCTTGGCGTGTGGTTTGAACATCGTGCTGAGGGACACCCTAGGTTTTTTGTAGTCCCATACAAAGTCATTCAGGATGCGTTGTAGATCTTCCAAGTACTTGTTCGAGATCTTGAGCGGGAGTGTACGGAACAGGTATTGAATCTTCGGTAATATCACCATTTTAATAGAGGCTATCCGGCCGGGCCAAGATATATATTTGCCTTTCCAACTTAGTAGTAGGTTCTTGATTTCTGTGGTTAGTTTTGCATAGTTTGCTTTATACAACGAGGTTGTGGAGGGGGTGAGTAGGATCCCTAGAAACTTGAGGTGGTCTTGTCTCCAGTCGTAAGAGAAACTGGCTTTGAGGATGGTCATTTCCTGAGTTGTGACATTGATGCCCATAGCTAGGGTTTTTGAGATATTCAGTTTATAGTAGGAGCAGGTGCTGAATTTGGAAAGGATTTTGTGGAAGTTGGGTAGGGAGATATGCGGTTGTTCTAGGGTGAGGAGTATGTCGTCCGCAAATAATGACAGTTTGTATTCCCTACTTCCTATTTTAATACCGTGTATACTCGGATTGTCTCTTATCGTTTGTGCGAGGGGTTCTAGTGATAAAATGTAAAGCAATGGGGAGAGGGGGCAGCCTTGTCTAGAGCCGTTGGATATATTAAAGGGTTTGGAGATAAAGCCACCGTTAACCACTCTGGCAGTTGGTGAGGAGTAGAGTGCGGTGATGATCGACAGGAATTGTGGGGGAAATTCAAATTTTTTAAGTACTGCAATGAGAAAGGGCCAGTGGAGCCTGTCAAAGGCTTTCTCAGCATCTAGCGAGAGTAGGACGCTTGGGGTTTTATTTCGTTGTATCTCGTAAAGAAGATCTAGGGTTTTCCTTGTGCCATCTGCCCCCTGTCTGCCTCCTACGAATCCTACCTGATCCGACTGGATCAGGGAGGGAATAATGTGTGATAGTCTGTTAGAGAAGATCTTTGCTATGATTTTGATGTCAGTGTTTAGTAGTGATATGGGACGGAGGTTCTGGCATCTGTTAGGGGTTTTCCCTGGTTTGGGTAGGGTGGCCACGTGGGCCATCAGCATCTCGCATGGCCGTTTGCCTGTTTGTATGGCATGGTTGTATATTTTCAATAGATATGGTGTTAGGATTGGTGCAAATTGTTTGTAATAGGTATTGGACAAGCCATCCGGGCCTGGTGATTTCCCCGATGGTAAGGAGGATATGGTGTCTAGAATTTCTTGTGTGGTGATCTGTGTTTGTACATCGTGTTTTTGTGCGGTAGATAGGGTAGGGAGCTGAACATCTGCTAGAAAGTCAGTTATTTCCGTTGGTGTTGGTTGGTGCAATGTCGGATCTGTGTGTAGATTATAAAGGGAATGGTAAAAATCAGCCATACTGTCATTGATGTCTTGTGGGTTGTGTATTTTATTGCCCGAGGTGGTGACTAAGTGTGGGATTTTAGCTTGTGTTTGCTGCTTTTTGAGCAGTGTGGCCAGATGTTTCCCTGCTCTGTTGCCTTGAGTATATGTTCTCAACTTAAGTTTGGTAAGGGCATGGGCTGTTTTGGCCAGAGCAAGTGAGTTGACTTGATTTGTGATGTCTTTTATTGCCTTCGAGAGGGCCTGTGAGGGATGAAGTAGATGAGCTGTAGTGGTATCTCTCAATTTACGTAGGAGATCTAAGTATTCTTTGTCTCGCTTCCGCTTCAGATATGTCGCGCGGCTGATTAGAAGGCCTCTCATAACTGTTTTGTGGGCTTGCCATATTGAGAGGATGGAGGCTTCCGAGTTGTCATTCGTCTTGAAGTAGTCTTGTAGGTTGGTGTTCAATGTCGTTGCGAAGGATTTATCGTAGAGTAATGAATCATTGAGGCGCCAAGGTGGTTTGCCTCGGTGTTGGTATATGGAGTGTAGTGTCATCAATAAAGGGGCATGGTCTGACCATACAATGTTGCCTATAGAGCATGCCTCTACTTGCGGGAGTAGCACTCCGGATATAAGGATATGGTCTATTCTCGAGTAGGTTTTGTGTGTGTTCGAAAAAAACGTATATTCTCTTTCTGAGGGGTGTCTAGTTCTCCATATGTCATATAGGCTGTTTTCGTGTATGAGTTTTGTAAACGCCTTGGCGGATGGTTTGATCGTGAGGTGTCTGGGTGTTGTACTTGGCATGGTGGAGTCCAGACGTGTGTCCATTATGTGGTTGAAATCGCCACAGATGATCCTTGGGTCTGTTGCATCTTCAGGGAGTTTGTTTAGGACCTTGTGTAGGAAATTTCGTTGTTGGTCGTTTGGGCTGTAGAGGCACACGAGAACGTATGGTTGTTCATTGATCCTACATTGTAGGATTATATAGCGCCCTTGGCTGTCTATCTTGACTCTGAGCGTTTCCACCGTCAGTGAGTTATGGAACAGGATGGATACTCCCCTGGATTTGGAGGAGTGTGTGGCGTGGAATTGCATGGGGTAGTCTCTGCTGGCAAATTTAGGGACTCTGCCTGATACAAAGTGTGTCTCTTGTACGCAGATTATGTCGGCTTTCAGTTGTTTTACAACGTCTAGTAGCATGCGTCTTTTGTGTGGCGTGTTGAGGCCTTTGGTGTTGTGCGAGTAGATGATCATGTTTGTTGTTGTGTGATGTGGTGGGGAGGCGGGGGGTAGGTGATCTCTCAAGTGTGCGTTTTCAAGGCCGGTTCGATTGCGAGTGGTTTACACTGGTGTGCAGGGTTGGGTTGGGTTTGTTGGGGTGGTTGGGGTGGGTCTCGTGGTGGTATGGGAATTTTATACAAAGACCTCGCGGTCTGGTACTCTAGGCGTACCGTGGGGTTTAGGAGTGGGAGCTTCCAATGAAACGTGGCTAATTGGGCTCCTCTTCAAATACAGATGGTTAAGCTGAAACCTCAAAGTCGAGGTCAATGAACATTTAAACATGGATACATAACTATAACAGCATGTAATTTGAAGCATCATTTACATAACAAATAACATTTAGTGCCGAAGGGCAAGCAAGTAATTTCACTTTCCTCACAAGTGGGTTTTATGTCACCTGTCGTCACTGAGTATAGATGAGGTGTCTCATGCCCCCGAGACCGGTGCGCCTATTTCGTGGGCAGTTGTTTCACGTGGTGTGTTCTGTGTGTAGTCATGTGGCCTGGTATAGGTACCAGTGGGGCAGATGGTTCTCGTCCAGGGTGGTCATCCCCCTTTTTTTTTTTTTTGTTTATTTTGTTATGTTATAAGTTATTTACGTTCGTGATATGTACCACTTCCGTCCCTTGAGTTAGGGATTTTCAGGGCCCTTAGGTACTGTCTGCATGTGTGTTTGGGCAGTTAGTGGCTACCTCATAGGCTTCACCCGTGTCAGGCGCGTCTGTCTCCTCAGTGTGCAGGGTGTTGTGCCTAGCAAAATTATGTCAGCCTCCCTTTGTCCCATGTGACCTCCCCCCATGTGGGTGTCGAAAGGATCCCTAGAGGGTCTGTTATAGCGCATGCGTATCTGGGTAGGCAGACCATCCGTTTTCAGAAGGTGTTGGCTAGCCTTGGATATATTTAATGGTACTTAAGAGGCTAATAAAACACTGGGGGAGATTTCTCACACTCCTAGGTTTTAAGCAACTGGTCGCTCTAAGTTAATGTGTTGGGTTACTGTATACGCTATGCATGCAGTGTAACATCTCTCGGGGGTGGTGGGGAGTTCAGTATTATATACAATTAGAAGCACAGTGCATAAAAGACAAGTGTAAATTAAACCGCAATGAAAGTTAGAGGAATATACAGTTCGTGATACTTGCGCAGACTTGCTTGCCGCTTCGAGGGTAACTTAACAGTCCATGTGCTTTGGCCGGCCCGGTGTACGGTTTTTGGGCCGTTGGGTTTCAGACGGGTTCTCCAATAAATTCCACTTTTCGAGCAGAGTTAAGCCGTCCTCCGGGGTCGGGATAATGGTCGTTTTCCCGTTCTTATTGATGATCAGTTTTGTGGGGAACCCCCAACGGTAGCGTATGCCGTTGGTGCGTAGTGCCGTGGTGGTCCGGAGAAAATCCTTCCTTCGGCGCAGGGTGGCTGATGATATGTCCGGTATGATGCGTACGGATGGAAAGTCTTCGTGTGGGTCCGCCTTGCTTCTGTGGGCACGGAGGACCAGCTCTTTGATGTGAAAATAATGGGCCCTGGGGGGGCGTGTCCGGCTTCCGGTGAGAGAGGACGCATGGCATAGGAGCTCCGCCGTTATCCCGACCTGTAGCGACTAAATGAGCGACTGACCCACCGCTACCCGTTACCCTGAGCCTGCGGGAATATCACAGCACCCTACAATGCCACCTCCTAAGCAGTTAAAGCTGTCAGAAATGACAAAATCGAAAAGAGCGGACCGCCGCAAAGATATCCAAGATGGCGACGACACCTCTAATTTATCTGATGGACAATCAGACTACGAACTAAGTTCATCCAAATACTCTGAAGTTCCAGTGACGGAACGCAGCCTTCACAAAATGCTGCAAGAACTTAGAGCTACTATAACAGCGGATTTCCACCGCATTAATGGCGATCTGAGGAAAGAAATCTCTAATATTGGTGACAGAACCAATCACCTGGAAAATAAAACGGACAAGCTCTGTATAGCACATAACGAAGTTGTGGATAAGGTTCAGAAATTGTCTGAAGAAAACTCTTTATTACGTGACAAACTTGCTGACATGGAAGACAGGTCAAGGAGGCAAAATATAAGATTCAGGGGCATACCGGATGATGTTACGCAAGAAGCACTACCAGCGCACATTCTATCTATTTGTAACACCCTGGTCCCAGGCCTACCTAATTCCGCATGGGCTTATGATCGTATGCACAGACTCCCACGGCCTGCGCATTTACCAAAAGAAGTCCCTAAGGATGTTATCGTAAGATTCCATTACTTTGCTCATAAGGAAACTTTGCTGGCAGCGGCGAGGAAAGCCCCAACACTCCCAGAACCTCATCAACGGATTGCACTCTTTGCAGATTTATCAGCAGCTACGATGGAAAAACGAAGAGGTTTCATCACAGTAACTAAAACTTTACGGAACAACAACGTGACTTATAAATGGGGTTACCCAACCAAATTAATCATCTGGCGACAAGGCCGCAACCACATAGCGACTGACCCGACAGAGGGTATGAAGTTGATCTCAGCATGGGGACTATGGACTGGTAATCCTCAACACCAAAGCAAAGCTCCGGATAATGCATCCCCGAGGAAACTTCAAGCAGACTGGCAAATGGCGAAATCACCAGCCAACACTCCATGACCTCCATATGGTTACTTATATCCACAAAGTTATCGATAAGTATCTTGGATTTGCATTTGAGTTTATAGCACTTCGTAGATCTATACCTGATGTCAAGTTAGTACTGCCGAGATACTGTCAGTTTAAGTCATGTATATAGTTGCATTGTTGTACATGCTTTATTCCAAAGATGCTATTAAGGGATTATAATTATATGGCTCACCCGTGGGACGTGGTGCAGACTGATACTCTGGGTACCTTTTACTGTAATATCTTTATGTAGCATTGGACACATATTTGCTACATGCAGAGTAGTTATTGCCGAACTTTAAGTATACCTACATCAAACTTCAACTGATACGGTTCTGGTAGCTCAGACCACATGTTCAACTCGCTCTGCAGAACAGTTATTGTCCACACAATTTGCAGATATTTTGAGTGATTTTTTACAATATGTGATTGCATACCCAATATGGTTAACTTCTTCTAGGGGACGAGGTCTTCCTGCACGGCTGTGTATTGAAGTTCTAGACAGTGTTTCACCCCTGGTACTAGTACTCCAGTCCTGGAGTGTTACATTAATATATATATATATAGAATGTTAGATTGCAGGCACGATTAACTGACATGGCGCATATACCCAGAGCCTGTATACGTCTTATAATTAGCAACCACCCATAATATTGCCTAGCCGTTGACGCCACCGCAGGACAAAGAGGTGTTACTTATCTCTATAAGACCTCACCCTGAGGGTCACCCAAAGCATCTACTACTGTGGATGTCCAAGGAATCACTCGCTCTATAACAAGAGACGGCTTGCAATACACATTGCATTGAATAGTCTCACAGTCATACCATCTAGATTATTCTGAGTCATTGGTCGGGAGGAGCCCACAAGACCTCCCTAGGTCGCCATGGGATGTGTTCTTACATATCCTATGGATGACGGTTTACACCACATTAGGCCGTTACATGACATTGGGAAATGTCCACTCAGAAGGGAATATTGTAAAAGGCCCCAATACATTCTGGGATCCCATGTCCCCGTAATGGGCAACGGGGTAAACCTCAAGGGGTGCTATACTGCACAGTTCCAAACTAAGATGCGACAGAGGTCCAAATCACCACTTCACTTTATGATATAGATGCCGCCTAATACACTACAAATCTTTTCCCTTAACGTTAAAGGCCTCAATAGCCCCTACAAACGGAAGCAACTGCTGAAAGATATACATAAAGCAGGAGCTGCGATTGTATGTGTCCAAGAGACGCATCTAGCGAACCGTAACCCTCCTCAGATCCGTTCCCCAATGTACCCACAAATGTACCACGCATACTCACCAACTAAGTCCAAAGGTGTTGCAATTTTTTTCCACAAAGATTGGCTTTACACAGCTCAAAATCAATTCACCGATCCATCTGGCCGCTTATTGGTCCTGGTAGGCGAACTGAATGGTATTCAAGTAACGGTGGTATCGCTTTACGCTCCTAATGAAGCTCAATTCTCATTTCTTAATAAAGCAATTAAGAAAATAAATTCCATTAAAAAGGGCCACGTTATTATTTGTGGTGACTGTAATTGCACCCTCATGCCCTCTTTAGATATACAACGCACCAAAAACAAACCTCCCAATAAATTATCTATTCACAATAGTAAACTGTTCTCTCGGCTTCTCCATGAGCAAGATCTATATGACACATGGAGAAATTTATTTCCAACAGCACGAGATTACACTTATTTCTCACAGGTACACTTAACATACACACGCATCGACCTGTGCCTAGTCGACAAACATACCCTCCCACATCTTATGGACCAATCCATTGGGATTCGGACATGGTCCGACCATGCCCCCATTCTGGTTACCCTAGGAGTGCCATACCCCACAACAGGGAGAGGTAAATGGCGTTTGAATGAATCTCTCCTTGATAACCCTGCTGATGTTCAATATATCTCCACGGTACTAGATAATTACTTTGAGGTTAATTCCACTGAAGACACCACGGTAGAAACTCAATGGCTGGCACACAAAGCAGTTGTCAGGGGTCACTTCATCAGATTGGGTTCCATAGCTAAAAAAAGCTATATTTCTAAAGAGACTGCACTTCGCCATACCCTTAGGAAGTTAGAAGAATCCAATAAACAATCCCCATCTAATCAATCACCCGTCAAATTACCAAAGTACAACAGGATATTCACCTTCTTCAATCACAAATATACACCAAGCAAGCACGCAAAACCCAACAATTGTATTACTTTTCAGGGAACAAGGCAGGCAAGATTTTGGCTAACCAACTGAAAGCAAAATACCTACAAACTAAAATCCCTTATCTATATTCCAAAGATCACGCACGAATATATAACCCGAATACGATTGTTGAAGAATTGGCCGGTTTTTATGAAGACCTGTACAATCTTCGCAACAACCCCAACACCAAATCCCCCAGTGTTGTAGACATCACACGATACCTCTCTCGAATCACACTCCCTCAAATACCGACGCACCACATGAATCTTTTAGACGCACCGTTCACGGAAACTGAAGTGAGTAATGTGATTAAATCCTTGCCAAAACATAAAGCGCCGGGACCTGATGGTCTCTCAAATTATTATTATTTGAAATTGGCATCGCGATTAATACCACACCTTACAAAACTATTTAACAAAATAAGAACGACAGGTAAATTCCCACAAGATATGCTAGAAGCTTACATTATCACCTTGCCTAAGCCAAATAAACCACCAACATATTGCAGTAATCTCAGGCCGATTTCATTACTTAATGCCGACGTTAAGTTGTATGCCAAACTGCTTGCCAACAGAATTCGCCCCCTGTTGTCCTCATTAGTCTCAGAAGAACAAGCGGGCTTTGTTCCTGGCAGGCAGGTTGGGGACAACACCAGATACTGTATGGACTTAATTGATTGGGCCAACCTCAAAAATAAATCAGGGGCTTTGTTGGCGTTAGATGCGGAGAAGGCATTTGATCGCCTAAACTGGGATTATATGTCAGAGACCCTGTCGGCTTTTGGTTTTTCCAATGCTTTCATTACCAGCATTATGGCCTTATATTCCGCCCCATCTGCTAAAGTTTTCAGCTCAGGCTTCACATCACGTAATTTTCGTATAACCAACGGTACGAGGCAAGGGTGCCCCTTGTCGCCCTTGATCTTCATTTTATGTTTGGAACCTCTAGTTAGAACGATCAAACTTGAGGCGGCGCTACCCGGTATAGATACCCCGGCAGGAGAAAAAAAGTTGGCACTTTTTGCCGATGATGTAATTATCTTTTTAGCTAACCCAACTGAATCCATTCCTCACCTATTACAAACACTGGCCACATACGGAGACATCTCCTATTACAAGAATAATGTTAATAAAACCCAAATACTACCCATAAGACTTAATAAGCAATTGGTGAGCGAACTGAAAAACACATATCAATTTGCGTGGCAAACTAACGCAATTTCGTACCTAGGCATCAAATTAACGCATTCCAAATCCCTAACTATAAAGGAAAATCACATAGCGGTTCTGTCCAATATTACCAAACAAATGGAGTCTTGGAGCAATCTCTACACATCATGGTTTGGTAGAATTAATTCGATTAAAATGATGGTTATGCCACATATACTCTACCTATTTAGGTCATTGCCCATTGCCTTACCAAATTCGCTCCTTCAACGTTTCCAGAGGGCAATTAACGCCCATATTTGGAAGAAAAAGCCCCCAAGAATATCCTTCCACTCTCTGTGGCGTCCATTCAAAAAGGGAGGTCTTAACGTTCCCAACATCATGCTCTACTATAAAGCAACCCTGTTGTCACAAAGCCTCTATGTTATGATGAGTACGCACAAACCGGTATGGGTAGATTTAGAATCCGCTTGTGGGGGGTCACACTCCCTATACAATGCCCTATGGTCCTCCACCCCCTTAGCATCACCCTCCACACTCCCAACATCACGATATATTACAAAATCATGGTCTAGGTGGAACACGGCGATATGGCCAAAGGCAGAACTACTGTACCTTGCACCATTATCAGCCCTCTCCGCCTTATCTCCCGACCTCCAAACATCTAAATGGTCAAGCTTAGGTATTACACATGTACATAAATTGCTTGGTACAAATGGCATTCACCCTTTCCCAACACTGCAGGAACGGTACAACTTACCCTCGAGAGATATTTTCTTGTACCTGCGTGTAAAACATATATTACTGTCACATTCGATTGAGCACATTGACCCGCTGTCACTTAGCAATATAGGCTCACAATGTTACCATACTAGACTGATACGTCCCTTGTGCAAACTTCTCTCCCTATGCTATAGGACGTTGTCTGATATTCACGGACACTCCAAACTAACTTATATGAAGCAATGGGAGACATCGTTGGGAATAACCCCAACTCTCATGGAATGGGAACAAGCCATCACCTATACCAAAAAATCTTCGAAATGTGTCATACTTTGGGAAGCCTACTTTAAAATGTTAATGAGATGGTACTTGGTCCCGAGCAGGATTCATAAAATTTACCCCAATTCTCCCTCAATATGCTGGCATTGCAACTCTAGTTTAGGGTCCATAGAACATATATTTTGGCACTGCCCCAATCTGCAAAACTTTTGGAAGGATGTCCAAACAACTATTCGGGCGATCTGTAAGATTACATTCCCGCTATCCCCAGAAATTTACTTGCTCCACATTATCCCTAACCTACGTGATATACCATCTAGAGACGCAGTATTAAATATACTAGTGGCAGCAAAAATTAGCATTGCAGCCCACTGGAAAGACACCAAGCCTCCTTCTTTGAAGGAGACTCTAGGAAGGGTGGAGGTTACATACCACCACGAATGCGAATGGGCAAAAGGAGGTAATAGGTCACACGTTCTGGACAAGTGGAAAAATTGGGAGTCTTTTAAAGATTCTCATACTACAAAGTAAAGAGCAGATCCCGCAACTAAGAGTGGATAAAGTACTCTATCCAGAACAAGGCCTACCACTACATGACGAATTACTAGGCTATCCTATCCCACTATACCTAGTAAGACTACTAAGCCACATCCATATCACTAATTTGCTATACCCCGCTATAATAATATAAAGTACTATATCCTAAGACAAGATGCGCCCTACTGTACCCTTCCCACTCCCTCCTCCTCCCCCTTCAGTTATTACGGTTATCTCATGTATATATATTTGTAACTGTTATTTATATTAAGGTCTTATTATGCTAGCATATGTCACATAAATATTTGCCTGGGAGTAGTAAGAAAGTTTCGAATGATGTGACCACCATGGATCGAGGAGAACTTAGGTATATCACATAACTTTCGCCCACTACCTATAAACCCTCATAACACTACAACATACGGCAAGTCCACTTGATCTATAAGTTACCCTTACTGGCGTAACTACATACCCTTCATAATAGGCCAAGCTACCCTGCATCACCTTTACAGCTGTGTTTCTCCCTCTCTTAATATTATATCTTCATAACTGCTATCCTGTTATCGGATACTTGGCTGTACACCAAGCAGACACTAATGCAGCAGAGGGGAGAGCGGTTAGATTAGCCGTGTATACAAAATGGCAACAAATATCGAACTTCATGGCTACAATCAATAGTAATGTTTACCTGTATATCCCCATATGTATGTACGTAGGTACCTAATGCGCCAGACAACTCCTTCCTTCACATGGTGTATGTATATAAGCGTGTATAAAGTGAAACGTGATAATAAGGCTACTGTATATGTCATTACCGTAATTATATGTTCTTTTATGCTCTTTTATGTTCTTCCTTTCTGTTATCTTGTATGTGTATCATAATAAGCTGTATGTATTATGTTACATGAGGGACTTGTCTCCTCTACTGTACCTCTTTATAAAACAATAAAAACATACATTGGAAAAAAAAAAGTTACAAAAGTTAGAAGGCTTAGAAGGCTTCTTCAGGATTGGATCCAGGATTGGATCAACAAAGCAAAGTGGGGAAAGACTCTTGTAGAGAAAGAGAGGTTTAAGATATAAATTAGGGAAGAAGCAAGACAAGAGGAGAGAGATTGGATGAAATGGTGAAAGAATGGTTTTATGGGGCAATGTGGTTGGGCGGAAGGATAGGAAAACGTAGGAAAATGGGCGGAAGGATAGGAAAACTAGTATTTGTCTTTCAAGTTCCGAAACACACAATCAAGCCCAGATATTTGCCGTCAACAATTCAGAACAATCCAAAAAATGTGCAAAAAACTGGTTGAAGGCAGTTATTCTTCCTAAAATTTTTGTTGTGTGGATATCAGAAGGGTGTATTTATCCAAAACTTATTAAGAAACCAAAATCTAAAGTCTCTAACGAATGCCAGGATTTAAAGAACTTCGAAATAACTGATCCTGAAGATTAGTTTCAAGTTGGCTTCTCCCGTAAGAGCAAAGCGTATTAGAAAATTACGCTTGTCAGTCTGAATACCAATGTGAAGCAATATTAAAAAAAAAAAAACACTTCCATAAATATATTGTCTATCTAAAGTGCATGGGGGAGGAAGATGTAATATTAAGACCAGATGTCTGAGATATGAAGAAATGCTTTACTTAGTCCAGACATGGTGAGCATAGTCGATCCACAGACTATGAATACAATTCCCACTGGGCAGTGTGTATTGATTTGATTGACTCAAGCTTAAAAGATACAATCACTCTGTTTATAATATTTATTGTGTCTTTGACTAGCCTAGTAATGACATTTTAACATTCCTTTTAGATGTATTTACTGATGTTGTGACATTATTGCTGTATAATGTTATTATATCCCGTAGGTATGGTGAGTAATATAATGAAATTGGATCTATATTACATAGGTATGTTTATTAAGTATTGATTTCATATGAATGTAAATAGTAAAATGAATAGGATAGCATTTTGTTTCAAATTGCTTTTCCTTTTAAGTACCTGTTCAGAGTGTATCATTTATCTGATATAAAGATAAAGTGTTTTACCAGGAATGAGATAGATAGATAGTTGCATGAACAGACAGACATACAGCAGTGGCATCTTAACAACATTATGGGCCCACAGGCAAAGCAGTGCACTGGGGCCCTGCCTACACACAACTCAAAGGAATACAAATTTAAATTATAGATAAAACATAGCTTATATTTATTAGTACTTCCAACAAATGCAATGCATTCATACAGTACATACACGCAGACTGCTGAATACAGTCACAGATTGCTGAAATACAGTCACACACCAACTGCTGAACACATACACACATATACTGACTGCTGAATACATATACACATGCTCACAGACTGCTGAACACACATGCACACAGACTGCTGAATACACACGCACAGAGACTGATAAATACACATGCACACAGACTCCTAAATACACATACACACAGACTGCTGAACACACACACAGACAGACTGCTGAACACACAGACAGACAGACAGACTGCTGAACCCACACACAGATTGCTGAACACACAGACAGACTGCTGCACACACAGACAGATTGCTGAAAACAAACAGACAGACTGCTGAGTACATAAACACAGTCCCCTAAATACACACCCAAACATACACACAGACTGATGAATACATACACACAGTCCGCTGAATACACACGTACACACAGACTGCTGAATACACACACACACTGCTGAATACACATACACAAAGACTGCCGTATACATACATACAGTCCACTGAATACACACACAAACACACACACAGACTGCTGAATACATATACATAGTCTGCCGAATGCACACACACACACAAACTGCTGAATACATACAGACTGCTGAATACACACACACATACTGCATTAAGGGGTGTAGTGTTTGTGCGTGTGTGTGTGTGTGTGTGTGTGTGTGTGTGCAGTGCTGTGTGTGTAGAGTGTGTGTGTGTGAGGCATGCTCTGTTTGTGTGGCAAGTGGGGTGGTGTGTGGGGGGAGGGTGCTGTGTGTGTGAAGAGTGCTGTGTGTGTGTGTTGCAGAGTTTCAGGTAGCAAATGTGTGTGTGAGTTTTTAAATAATGCTATACATTAATTAAAATCTTCATCCACCCCTCCCTTCTTACCTTTGGTGAAGTAGGGGGGGACACAGTCAGTTCTGGATGTCCGGTGTTGGTAAGTTCTATGTAGCCTGCACCTCCTCTGGCTGCAGGCTTTCCTGTCCTCCCGCGTGCAGAATGCCATGGTAATGCGCAGCAATGCTCCACACAGCCTGCTCGCAGAAGGCGCGATCTGCTTCCCAGATCCCTCTTCCTGCCTCCAGGTCCTCCCGCCCTCTCTTCCCGATCGAAGGGCCCTTGGGTCGTTGAGGGAGAGAGGGCCCGAGAGGGCCCACGGCCATAAAACAGGACTGGCTCTCCATGGGCTGGTAGGGGAGATCAAAGGATCTCCCCTGTCGGTCGGGCACGCTGGGCAGCGTGGTGGGGCCCCTATGCCTGTGGGGCTCCCGGTCAACTGCCCAGGGTGCCCATGGAGAAAGATGGCCCTGACCTACAGGCAGAAAGACAGACAGGCAGACCCAGTACTGCACTGTGGGTGACATTACAACATGAAATAAAAGCTGTATTGTATACTCCAATGTGAGACCCACACTGTCAGAGAATTACCAGGACATATATGTCCAGGCCTGCCTAATATTATTAGTAGGGGTAATGTTTACTCCTGTATTCATTATTGATCCTTTTTGCCATTAATGACATGCCCTGGCATATGAAATCTAGTACAAACAATCACACTCTCTCTGTTTCAGCTGTATTGCTGCTAAATACATGAAATCAAAAATATGGTCCATGAAAAGTTTTATTAGTGAAATAAATGCAATAGAAGGCAGAATATTATAATATTATATGTATTGCTGCCTTGTAATGGACCCTTAGGATAACAGGTTGATGCAACACTGCCTTTGATTGCTTATCAATACAAATCTGCTCTAGTTTATGTTATATATTATAATACACACTGATCAGCCACAGGTGACACTAATAACATTGATTGTATCAGTGCAATGACACCTGTCAATGGGTGGGATATATTAGGTAGCAAGTGAACAGTCAGTACTAGAATCCATGTGTTGGAAGCAGGAAAAATGGATAAGTAAAAAGAATTGGGTGACCTTCGCAAATATTGATGGCTAGATGACTGGGTCAGGGCATCTCCAAAATGGCAAATCTTGTGGGGTATTCTTGGTATGCAGCCAGGGCTGAATTAAGAGCCCATTGGGTTCGGTGTTGACAGTTATGATGGGCCTAATTACAGAATCTTATAGACAGAAAACACTAAAACAGTTATACCTCCCAAGCGTCATGTATCTGGTGGAGGTGGTGACCGAGGGACACTCACAGGATATAGCCATCTGAAAACACATATCCTATGCTAATCTCTCGCGTTCATCTTTCAAGTAAATCCATATCCCCTAACAGCCGTGTCCGGTGAAGCAGGATTTCGGTGGGCCACTGGGTAAAAGGGTGGGCCACTGATATGAATCTCGTAACCAGAACAGCCCAAAGGGACAATTATGCCCAAAAGGGGGCATGTCTGCACAAATAACTAGATAGTCAGTCTGGTGGGAATGCACATTAGGCTGCCTTCCATTCATGCAGGATGACCAGCCAAGGGTTTACAGTGCAGACAGCACTCTGAACTTGTCATAAATGCGTCTGATGATGCACTGGCTCCATGCTTTCTAAGGACTGTCCCCTAGCAGTCGCTGGTCCACTCCTCTCCTAACCTTCTTACTAGCAGGCAGAATCTCCTGTTATACAGTCTGGGACAGAGAAAACGTCTATGTAGTGAGCAGTGGTGTATTTAAGATTTGTGCTGCCCTAGGCAGGACGGTGCTCGGGTACCCGCCCCCCCTAATTTAAATTTCCCCCACCCCTTCCTGTCAAGGCCACACTTTGACTGACAGACGCTCACTCCCTGACAGACACACACTCTCATATACAGTGACAAACAATGACATACACACTATTACTTGGACTTTCACTGACAAACGCACTCACTGACAGACGCACGCACTCACTGGCCGACACACACACACACTCACTGACCTACACACACACACATTCACTCACAGACACACACATAA